ACAGTATCATATCACACAAAGAAATTGAGCTAATAAAGCCACTCACATCCCTAACTTTCATATTCCTTACAGCCTAAAGAGCACAGCTGAGTTAACAGAGACCAAAATACTTATCATAGACCTAAGACCCCATTCAGTGGTAGCAGCTTTATCTTATTGAGCAGTAATAAGGCACAGTTAGCATGTGGGTGCAATAAAAACAAACAACCCACCTACTTTTTTTTTCTTTTTTTTTTCTTTTTTTAACTTACGATTGTACTGCAGACAATATATAGAGAGAAGATAGAAACTACAGGAGAAGGATGATAATAAGCTATACTTTTGTACGTGAAGGCCAGCAAAGCTCTGCGATTTTTTCAGCTCTGTACTTCAGGTTGCCTTCCTTCTGTGGTCACTTCCCTGGCATGCATAAGCACCAGGAATATAATAAAACCCTGTTACAAGAAATATGCTACTTTGACTTTGCTATGGTCCTCTATATAGCTCCTGGGGAGAATGTGCTCGTGTGCATGTTCTTGGTGTATTTGTTATATTTGCTTTTAAAGCAGAATATGGAACCTATATGAAGTAAATAGCTAACAGGTGAGAAAGAGGCAAGAAGAGTTAAAAAAAGTAATTTCTCTATGGCCCAGCTCCTTTTCTTCTCCAAAATCCACATGGACAATGACAGAATAAAAGATGGGAACAAAGGCAAAGAAAAATGAACTAAGCAATGACAGAAGACGAGAACATCAACCAATGAAACATTTACATGTAAACCTCAGAAAGAGAATTTATTCGTTCATATTGTTTCCTATTTCCATTTGGCTTCCCTGGCAGGTAGCCCAGCGCACCATCAGTTAGAGGAAAGGAAGTTACAGTATCACATTTTTGTAGGGGTTGGATTTTATTGCTTTGCTACTACAATTAGGCAAGTATTAACTCAGTTAATGAGGCATAACTATTAAAAAAGTATATACAATTGGGGATTGTGGACTAGTCCCCCACTAAAGCCCCAAACAAAAACTTTATGAGAGCGAAGGAAAGAGATTAAAAATAGTAAAATAATAAAAGGTGATGCAACTTTAAAGTGGAATGCTAAAAGCAGGGGAATCATTAGTGTTAATTAGCTGACAGCCAGCCTGAGGGGAGGCTACATGCTTTCTCAGTGATCAAACCTGCTAGCAAATATCCAGCTAGTCACTCAAAAAGCAGCTTGGAGACAAAACAAGAGATAGGGAGGACAACAAGGAACCATTTTCGCTCACCTTTGTGCAGGTGCGATGCCTATTCAGTGTTTAAATTTGAGAGGCACTGCCATTCCCAGTAACCTGGATGTTTGTTTGTTTGTTTATTCTGTCAAAGCATCATCTGTTCCCATTAAAATGATACCATTTTCTAGCTAAATTATTATTCTACCACTCAAAAGTGAATGTGTGAAGAAATGTTTACACTGAACATGATTTACATTACATGCACATTTAAATGTCTGGTGGGAATCCACAGTCAAACTTGCATGGCAAGTGATCAGGAATGGAAAGCACAGCAAGGCACGCAGCTATCAGGGCAAATGTTGAAATACTGATTTGGTCACCCCCAAGCCTGATTTTTGGGTTCTCTGGCTGGTTGGTCTACAAGCCATGATGGGTGTAAGCCATCTACCCATAGGTTTGGGACATGCTTGGTGGCAACATCAGAGGATGGAGGCGCCAACAAAAGTCTGTAGGAGAAAGGACTGCTTTGGCATGCAAAAGATTTTTGGATCATGCCTATATTTGGGCTACTGAACTGAGGGAAGATGGGAGATCTGAGTGTAATGAAAGGACTACATTAAGGGAGCAACCACCCTGTAAAATTGCTTCAAGCTGGAAACTACACCCAAGGACTCACTCCTACTGTGAACACAGCACAGGAAAATTGGCCTCAGAGCTGCTTATTGAAATCCTTGGCAAGGGTGCTGCACAAAGGTCCAGACTTCCATTTTCTTTTTTTAATTTTTTAATTCAAACTAATTGCTTTTAACACATATATGTTTTTCCTGGCTTCATCTCAGGGCCTTAAAATTACATTATACTTCAAGCTCACATAAATGCAGTGAGATTAAATACTCAGTTCTCATCCTTGTGGGCTTTGTGCCATGAGGAGAAATTCAGCCTTATGGGGCGAGCTGGCCTAGGGTGAGTGCAACATTTTGGGGTGAAGATCTTGATGCTGCCAAGATAGATGCTGTTTTGGCTGGACTGCTAAAGATGCAGTATTTTCACCTCAGACAAGGCTGCTCAGTAGGCCAGAGGCACATGAACTTTCACAGTGGAGAGGCAGTCTCGATGTACCACAAAGTTTCTTCTGGGAATAACATAGTATTTATTAGAAGAGCAGCCTACAGGCACTTTACATGCATAGGATGATGACATCTGTGTGTGCCTCGGATCTCATGTCTGGCACTTTAGGCCAAGATCTACTTTATCACAGCTGGAACAGTAATTTCATGTATGTTTTGTGGCTTAGTGATGAATCAGCTCATATACAAGCTTAAAATCTGCTTTCCTATTTCCCCAAATAATAATAATAATTCACAAAATTCTGGTTATTTCACACTCATTTGCACACGTACACTTTAGAAAGGGTATTAATTACAAACCCATGCTGGGTAAACTCAAGTGGGCAACTTTACTAAAGAGATTTAGAAATGAAGCTTTCTAATATTATTATTATTATAATATTATTATTAACTAATAATACCAGGATAAACTGGATGCAAGAGAAGTAGGGATAAAGGATATTTCCCCCTTTATGTCTACAGCAGCAGAATAAATTAACAGATTTCTAATGATCCCAGACAGTAGATTTTCACTACATTCATAAGATCCTTGACTTTATCAGTTTATTTATCACTTTATTTAGCCTCAAAGTCATATAGCAGTGATTTACTATTCTTGCTCAGTCCAATTAAAAACAAATAAAGAAATTTGCTAACCAACCAGATGTTACTACGTTTCTTTAATAGTGAATCTGTGTTGCTTGCTTGCTTGCTTGCATGCAAAAGTTCAAGACAGAAGTTGAAATCCTGCGCATGCAGTAAAAAAAATTGCCAATATGTATTTTACTTTTATTTTAGAATTAGAAATTCTCCAAGTCAGAATGATGCTTTCAAATTTTTAGAATCTGTGATTTACTACAGTGAACTTGAAGAACTAGGTAACTGCTGCCTGTACTCTTGGAGAAGTCATGCTGAACTGCATGAGGGAAGAAGGGATTTCAGCTGACTGCAGAGGAGCAAAGACCATGGTGACATTTAGAAAGGGAAGAGAAGAAGAGCCAGGCAATTAAAGACTAGGTATGCTAACCTCAGTATCCAGAAAGATATCACACAATACATTTCTACGTAGTTGCAGGATTACAAGGTCTTAAGAAACCAACTCAGATTTGTCAAGAATAAACAAATCATGTCAAACCAACCTAATTTATTTCTGTGACAGGATAATCTAAAAACTAGTAGATGTGATTTATCTTGTCTTTAGTAAGACTTCTGGTGCTGTCTCCATGACATTCTTATGAGGTAACTGGGGAAATATGGGCTATTATGAAATCGCTGTAATGTGAATGCATAGTGAGCTGAAAAATCTTACTTACTGAGTACTTATTATTTATCAGAACTTTCCTGGCCATCTGAAAAGTCTAACAAAGAAGCCAAGAAAAGGCTGTTCTTCGTGTTTCGTGCTGTTCACAGTTTGCATTAGTAACCAGTATGATAAGCATGTGCCTAGTTATACAGTATGTGCATGAAATAAGGCTGAGAAAATTATTTCAAAGAGAAATATTTTTACATTATGAGATTAAAATTCATTTAGAATTACACAAAGAATTGGACTGAAGACTAAAAAAGATCTGAGACCACACGTACAAATGGGGAATTGCTGAACAGGCAGTGGTGGCTTGGAAAGGATCTGAGGAATTACAGAGGCTCAGAAAATGAAGGGAAGTGTGGATATTTATATTAACAGGAGCGGTATATGTAAGACAGCAGAAGTAATTGTCTGATTTCACTTGGCACTGCTTAGGCTTTTACTGGTTTAGATAACTACATCTGGACATCATCCTTAAGAAGGAATGCTAAGTGGAAAAAAGTCACTTTGACATTCAAAAAAAAAAAAAAAAAAAAAAAAAGTGTATCTATGTTTATGGAACTGATTATCAGCAATTTACACATCCAGATTTGAGCGGTGACATGGTGGTGGGCTGCAACACATTTTCTTGCTCTGCTCCATTCGGTTGAATGTATCCCACTGTTTCAGAACTGGCTGCAGTCAGAAATACAATTTTACAATAAATGCAACTCTTATGTAAGCATTAATATCCACTGTGCCCTTTGGGATATAATGCAAACACAGTGTACCAGATCATGCTAAAGGGATAGATGCACGTCAACCTAAAACAACTGCTTATGTGAGACCTATTTGAGACGCAAACAGTTTGCACATAGCATAGATGAGACAGAGCTGCATCCCTGACCTTCAAGTCTATCATCAAAATTCCCTCATTTAAAATGACAGTGTATGTACCCACTGCAGCATAGCATGAGGCATACTGGTATTCAGAAGAAAAGATGGCTGCTTAAAGTTAAGTCAAATTTTTGTCCGTATATTTTGGGTAGCTGCTTTTGGTGATTTTCTCTTCTACTGAAGATACCGAGACAAAACTTACACACTCCAGGATAGATATAGTGTTCCTTGTTTTGCCCTGGCAAGCATAGTAATAAACAAAAACATGCAAAATCATGTATGGTACAGAAAGGCCTGTAACTTCAGTCCTCAAGTAGTTTTAACTGGTTTTGGTGAACATTCATACCATTCGTGTTTTTCTGGGAAAATAATTCCTGAGGTGCAAAGCTGAATTGTATGTCGGCATTTTTAAAGACATTGCATTTCAATGAATCATGGAGAAACTTGGTAGGGACACAACAAAACAGGAGCAAAATATTGTCTAACACAGATACTCAGAGGCAAGAAATGATCATGGGGTTAAACTACTGTAAGTGGTGGGCTTTTTATTTTGTTGAAAATTACATCTTATACTGGATTCAACATAGTTATAAGATGAAAAGAGGTCCACTGGCAAGGGAAGAAAAAATGCAGAAGTTTGGAAATAGTTGACACAACTAAAATAAATGACAACTTTTTCAGTATCCCATAGGCAGGCTGTAATAGACAATGTTTTCCTGTATCCATGGAGAAAGTAAAGTCTTTGACTGATGTAAGACAGTTTAGTACAAATGCTTGTCTGTCTTTTTAGAGCCTGCACTACTTGTTTCTTTTAACAGATAATATAGGCAATATCTAGCTTTCACTCCGAACCCATGCTTTAACACTCAGAATTTATCCATATTTAATTACAATTTTATCACACTTTTCTAATCAAATAAATTTACTTTGTCTTCCAAGCAATCACCTCAGTATTCCAGTATGTAAAAAATACTTTCATTATGTTTATTATAAAAATATAAATGTTTCCACTACAAATCATTTTACATTAGTAAGAGGCCATCTACAATTGCACAATATATAAACTAAATGAGTAAGTAATGCTTTGAAATACAAGTTAAAGTAAATACATATTGCCAATCAAATCACATCTATACATTGCTTATTGAACGCTAAGTAACAGCACAAAACTAGATATGTTAACAGAAATAAATAAAATGGAAACTATATTTAAAGATACAAACCCAATAATATGGTACGACATTTTATGAGCTGTTGCATTTTGCTTGATGTCAATAATGAATGCAAGTCCTGTACAGGAAGATGGCCACACAAATTCTAGTATCTCTACTCCACAATGAAGAATTGTACACTGCTATGTATACATATGTACACGGGGATAGGGAGTATAGGATGCTTGCAAAAGAGGCCACTTACAGTACAAATCAACATTTGACAGGGAGAAAATACCTAAGTGTAGTTTAGAACACTATACTCCTCATAGCAAAGAAAAGCAAAACTGAGTTGTTTTTTTTTCTCAAGCATCAGTAAGATTTAATTTCTTACGCTGAGCATGCTCAAACAGTGGGCAAGGAACATGACATGGTACTATGAGAAGATTGAGAGTGGTTGGTGCAAAGTTTTTGCTTGTAACCTAAAATTCTATGAACCAGCTCTGTGTTTTCAGGAGCGTTTCGAGATCTATTCCCCCCACCTCAGCCCACTCGTCCCTAATCTCCAGAATGAAGCTGAAGAAAAACATCAGGAGGAACATGTAAAACGCTGCCCCACAAACACATTGTCTGCAAATGGATTTTGGTGAACTTTAAATTCACCAGCAGTGTCTGACAGAGCAATCTCAAACTGAACAAAAGAAAGATTCTGGATGAACTAAGCAACTAAAAATATAGCTTTTATATTTAGCATGCTGTATTTCACAATAGATTGTAGTACATAAGAAGTGTTTTTGCATCGTAAGTGCTTCCTTTTCATTTTTTCTTCCACTTTTCAATTTTTATTTTGACTTACTTTAAAACTCCTTAATTTTTTCTTTCAGAAGACATTCTTATCCTGTGAGTGCATTTCAGATGCAATCCTTTACAGCATGTTCATTACCCCTAACTCTCCTTCTATTTATTAATGTGTAATAAACACCGTTGCTCTGCATCTGAAATGTCTTGGACCCAATAAAAACAATTTGGAAACTGATTCAGCCACACAAATCCCAAGAACTGATTATTTCCCCTCATATTTATGCGCCCTGTGCTACAAGGAGCTTCAAAAACCAGACCAACACTGCAAAGAAAGGACAACAAACTTGACTGCACAGCAGAAAGTGGCATGCTATGTACCCAACTGCCTCTTACAGTCTTGGACTGCCAATGACTCACTGTTACTCATTAGAATCAGGTTTAAGTTTAAAAACGGCAAGTTGGAAATCCAAGGGGGCATGAAGAAACTGGCCTGTATGCAGCACTAGAAATGCCTCACACAGCGACTTAAACCCCTCATTTTCAGAGGAAAGAGCTGTGTCTGTTCAGGACTAGGATTAACATAATCAGGAGCTTAAGAGCTCACTTATGGGAAGATGCTGAAGATGTAGGAAGACTCAAATCCTCTCCTTTACGTTCCTTTTTCTACTGAAAAATATGAATGGTCTCCTAAAGATAGGCTCCCTTCTGATTTCTTTCAAGGGACCAAGCACTGCTTCTAAAGCAGTACAGCTGGCTTTACCCCAACTCACCTTGCAGAAGGAAGAACCATTCCTAGATGGATGGAGCCTGGTGGTTTTGGTTACACTGGGACATCTACCAAAGCACACCCTTGCGAGTGCTGTGTTTTCTGGACTCTCACATTGCCACACAACTAATCAGTCCTGTCAAGACTGAGGTGGCTGCAGCCATGTGGAGTGGCAAACACAGGTGCCCATGGAACCTGAATCAAAAAGCAAGGCTCCTGAAGAATGACAGCATCTGGACAGAGGTCTTCTAGATCAGAATTAGGCAAAATGACAAGCCAAACTCCCACTGTAGAAGCTTAAATCATCTTCTTCAACTATCCTTGGCTGCCGACATGGTAGTACAACTCCCAGTTACCAGCACTGGGAGCAGAGCCCATGAGATGGAAGACAGTAATGCATAATTCCTCAATAAGCTAAAAAAGCACTCTCAGATCGTGCAGGATACACTCTTACAATTCCTAGGTAATTCTTCCACCTGAACAGCATCTGAAGACAGCAGACCTTTGTGACATGAAATCAGGCCTTTGGAAAGCAAAGGAAATACATATGGTTGGCCAGGCCAGGTACTGATTTGGAGATCAATGGGCATGCAATTCCACCAGAATTCAAGCCCAGATTTAAATATCACTCACTTGCAAAGGAAAGAAATCTCAGCAAGTCCCAATGATTTGCCTAGGGTCGGAGCTACAAAAAAGACATTTCTTTCCTTCTGTACTTTGTATATGACGTTGTGAGTATAAAATAATCAAGTAATTAACCCTCACAGTTTCTCAGGTTAAACCAATGAAGTATTGATAATATTTGGCACTTGTCAATAATGCAGCCAGGTTAAGGTATTTAAGCATAAATATAAACAATAATGGTAAAAAAAAAAAACAAAAAACAAAAAGCAAAAAACAAGAAAGGAAATAAATAAGTCTTTTAAGAATTAAGACTTTTTTTTTTCTATTTAAATGAACACAATTAGGGAAACTAACACAATGGTGAAAATCTTTTGCCAACTAACCCAGTCACTACAAATTTTATGTCTGTTTTCCTTTCTGAAGTTCAAATAGCATGTTACAATGACATTATAGTAAATATGGCCAGACAGATTGCGAGGTATAGTCCTCTATTTTCCTTGCTTTTAAAGAAATAAAATACCTGTTACAGATCTCTTCTGTATAAAAATACTGTAAGTCTTTCTTTCTTCTTGTTTGCTGTATAGATCAAATACACAGCTTTTATGTCCTTGGGTTTTTCATGTTATTCAGTCACTTAATATTCAAATGGCTCTAGGTTTTAGTATCACTGCTTTTTACTCGGAAGGATTTTTTACATTTTTTTTTTTCTTTTGAAATTTACTATCTGCATTAACAGTCAGTTAAGAGCACCCACCCTTCAGGATTAACAGATACAAAACAAGTTCGCTCCTATTTTTAAGGCATTTATACTCAGTATTTGAGTGTCTCAGTGGGTTTGAAATTTCAATCGTTATGTTTCCAAAACTGCTGCAAAGAACTCCTTTAAACTGTGCCATTTATCAGCCATCGCTTTTGCTCTTTGATGCGACTTTTCTTTTTTCTGTCCTCAGCAACATCATTTTGGTACCTTACACAGGAACAGGGCTGTTCTTCGTATGAGTTTCTAGAGTTTTGATACTGCTAACAATCTTCTTTTGAGGCCCCACAACTGTAACACCAATTTTCTTCATGTCACTGGAAAAAAGAGAATATAAACTAGGTGAGTCAGCATCCTGCCTCTCTGCTTCCTAGAGCTGACGTGAGCAGAGACCAATCAACTCGCTCATCTTATACTGATGCACTGGATGAGCCTCCAGGTACAGAAATGCTGTTGAAACACAAATCCTGGTTTGAATAATACTGAGAGCCATTGTTTGAAGACAGCAGGAGGCTGCAAAAAATTGTAAAAACTCATTTAGCCCTGCTGTGTTTGCATACCTGCAAGAATGGACAATGAAGTAGTGTTTGCCAGTGGTGTACACACAGGGGGCTACTTCTGGGCCAGCTGCAATCTTAAGTCCCTCTACCATCCCCCTATCAACATGATTATTCTTCCTGACCAGTGGACATTTTGACTTTATGTGCCAAGCCTTCTGAACAGTTTCTCATCCTCAGAATAAGCACCATGTCTAAGCTTCCTGTGTCTACTGCTGTTATCACTCCTTATTTCTTCAGGCAGCTCATTCTCTTTGTTCATTGTGCAATATAGAAACAGTTTAATGCTTACCAAGGGCTCATTAAACAGTTGTTCACAGGAAACTGGGCATTCCTGGAGGATTTCTGCACTGTCCCCAAAGGGTAATTGTCATAAAAACCCATTATCAGCCTTTTTATAGTTGCAATAATACACTAATTAACGGCATTGATGTGTTTAATTATCAGCCCTGCAGCTGTTGGCTACTTCTTCATAACTGGTCTTGTATCCAGTGAGCCCAATGGGGAGTCAAGATTTTCCTGTACAGTAAGTTCATAACTGTACTTGATCCTTTTCAGGTGCAAAGAGAACACCACCATATTCTTCCTTGTCACACTACATTTTAATGTATGAACTTTCAAGTTTTAAACTTTCAAGCTTATAATGATTAATTGTCAAAATGGAAGGCAGGAGGGAGTTTGCCCTCTAAATAATTATTTATAAAATCATAGAATCATAGAACGGCTGGTTGAAAAGGACCACACTGATCATACAGTTTCAATCCCCCTGCTATGTGCAGAGTCACCAACCACCAGACCAGGCTGCCCAGAACCACATCCAGCCTGGCCTTGAATGCCTCCAGGGATGGGGCATCCACAGCCTCCTTGGGCAACCTGTTCCAGTGCATCACCACCCTCTGTGTGAAGAATTTCCTCCTAATATCTAACCTAAACCTCCCCTCTCTTAGTTTAAAATCATTACCCCTTGTCCTGTCACTAGCAACCCACGCAACCATTATTAGCATACTGGAGAAAAGCAGTTACATAGTACTTGTTCTTTGGCACCTGGGTTGATGGAATATGGGATGTGCAAAAAAGGAAAAGATTGGCACACCTGACAGCTGTGGGGAAACCACAGATAAAGGCAGATTATAAACGAGTACAAAACAACTACTGAAGTGTGACTGAAGGTAACAAATGCTCTTATACCAAACTATGCACAGTGCTGCCATACCTGAAGAAACTGAAATTTCCTCTACATTAGTGAGAAAGAGTTATGAAAAAGGTTTCAGGTTTCCTGCATGTGTATTACAACTACTACAGTAATTTACCTTTTTTTTTCTATTAAACATTATATTACCTCAGCTTAAAAAAAAAAAAAAAAAAAAAAAAAAAAGGAAGCTGAATATTAAAATGCTACCCTTATGCTAAAACATGAACCCCCAGCTCTAACCAGTGATGAAGGGCTGGGATTATTTCAACTTACTCGGTGGAAATCTTGGCTATTGTATCACAGGAACTGTACTCCACACCAGTGAAAATGCCTTTGCACTGTCCTGTTCGAAAACCATTGAGCCAATCACCTGTTGTGCGGAAAGCTGAAATGTCAATGTTACTTTGGTCCAGAAGAAGGTTTGATGGCCTGAAATGAAAAAGAATATGGTGAAAGTTGTGGATCAGACATGAATATGGATTCATTTTGTGTCTAAAGTTATCATTCGCATCACTAGGAGCTCCCAGGCTACATGCAAGTTTTTGCTTATCTGCAGAATTTATCTGCCACTGAGGCCAAATGTATTCACACTGACAGCTTTGACAAACACTATGCAGTCACCTTGCTTAAGAGCTCCAGCTTCTCAAACCCTGATTTTACATCACTGATACATCACAAATTCATAGAGTACAATATTATACTACAGTTTAATGTGTTAAAGTATTAGCAAAGACAAGCCTAATTTAGATTATATTTATGTGATTGACCTAGCCACAAACAATATACTAGTCACTACAACAAGGCACACTCTAAACATCAAGTTCAGCATTTTGGCAGAAGTTACACATATCAAATGTTCATAGTATTGCAGCCCTCCAAAAACTCCTAGGTGGTGCTAAAAAGGTAGAGGCATATAAAATAAGACACTAGTGGCATACAAATGTCATCAAATCTAAAAATCAGATGTAAGTGAATTGCAAGACAAATGCAACCATATGAGACTTGTATTCCGCAGTTTGCAATTTGAGATCGTGCTCATCTTAAAGCTGAAACTTGCATAAGAGTATCATATAAATAATCTGAAAGTGTGAATTGAATCATCTCCTGCCTTTGAATTAAGGTTGGTGCTTATGAAGGATGCTGAACTGAACTGATTTGCTTCCACATTCATTACTTGGAAAACAACTAAAAAATCAGTCTGAAACAAAATCAAATCAAGGAATCAAACACAAAACTCATCTCCATGTTCCCTTGCCCACTTAAGCCATTTTCCGTAAGTATCATGCTACCTAGAAGCTACCGAGATGAAATCATCCTTTTAAAAATAAAATAAAGATGAACATATATGAACATAATTATAATATGTATGAATATGAATTGTATATGAATATATAATTTTTTCAACAAGGAAGAATTAAGGTAGGTGAATCTGAAAGTTGGATATTGCATATGGTGCAAGAGTTGCTCTTAAATTGATTTAGAATTTTTTTTTTTTTTTCTGCCTGGTAAGAGGAATCCTGTTTTCACAGTTTTGAGAATATACTACTTCTTTGAAGGCATCAAGGTTTAAAATCAGCTAGCTTTCTGAACCGCTTGTTGCAGCCCACAGATAAACAAATGCATTTCCAAGCAGAGGATTTGTCCGCTCTGAAAAAGGCCTTCCAGGAAGGCAGCTGGAGTGACACACCCAGCTCTTGTACTCAGCAATCAATCAGTCTTCACTGACCTGCTCTCTTCCTGGTCATGTAGGAAGCTCCTGAAACACAATTTCTACAAGATACCTCACTAACTCCAATTGCCTTTCTCTCCCAGTGCTAATTAGGGCAATAGTGGCTTACTCAACTAGCCAGACGTTATTAATCAACTGTATTTCTACAATTTTTCCTCCAGTTAAAAGTATATGCCCATACCATGCATCTTTTTAGCATGCATATCATTTTAAGATAAGTACCTTATGGGTGTCTGCCTCAGGCCTAAACCTAAGCATGTGTTTGGCTGTGATTTCAGGATGGTGATATTCAGGGGCATAGGAGGCTTACTCAGAGGTCATCTAAAGCAGTTCTCTTTGCAACTTTACAGCCTATTGGTTCCCTAGTTGTTATTGTTGTTTTTGTTTGTATGTTTGTTTGTTTTCCTAGAGATTTCAATGAACATCATCTGAAATATAATTTGACAACAACAGCTAAATCCATCTGAAATTACTTCTGTCACTGGAAAAATGAGAGGTGATTAGGCTAACATGATCAGTTGAAGATTGTAATGGCACAGTGTAATGTGTAGGTTACAGTTACTGTTACTAGAGAACTGATCTGGACTTCAAAATACCCTCTTCACTCACCACCCAAGCCATCTTTCAGCACTGGAAGAAAGGCAGAGTTTGTAAAGGGCCCCAGAGAGAACCAAATGTTTGAACACCAATAAATTTAAACTCCCTTACAAAGCCTAGATAATCCAAACAGAACTTTTCAATCCTAAACCATGTTCTTACTAAGTTCCACCAAGATCAGTAGCTGTGGAATAACCTACTTGTGCAGTCGATCTGCCGTGCATTTGGATCAAGAAATACCACATCAGTAACACCTAGACTTTTACCTTTCACCTTGGATGAATCATGGAACTGTAGAAACACCAAAGTTTGAAAAGACCTCCAAGATCATCCAGCTCAACCACCCACCTGTCACCAATATTTCCTACTAAACCATGTCTCTCAGTACAACATCTAACATTTCTTGAACATCTCCAGGGACAGTGACTCCACCACCTCCTGGGACAGCCCATTCTAGTGCCTGACTCGTCTCTCAGACAAGAAAAAAACAGTGCAGCTTTGCAATACAGCAGTTATTGAAATTGGATACATATAAAACAGCACCTTTATTCTTGACATTACGCCAATCCTTATCAATCAGCTGAATTCTTTCAAGACCAGGAAATGATTTTAATGTTTTCTTCCATTCTGGGATGAGAGGACACACTTGAAGAGCTTATCAGGAGCTTGAAAATCTTAACTTGCAAATCACAACTTGTCATACACTTCTGCAGATTGAGCACCAGTATTCAGCAGGTCTCAGGGCAGGGATGCAGCTGCTCAAGCACTATTGTTCGCTTTCTTTTGTCTGGATCCCAGTCAGGACATGCTCTGCTGCCTCTGCAAGGGACTCTGGAGGTGCCACTGACTTCAGATGCAGACCTCATTCCCACTGGGAAGAGACATGGTGACAGAAGACACCAGAAGCCTACTCTGGTTGAAACAGACTGCAGCTTAAGGCCCAGGTGGGAAAATCAAGCCCAAGATGTTTTTATCCAGTAGCTGTACAGCCTGAATCTCCTCAACTACTGTTTGTCTCACAAAGAGCCAATATTTTTTATTTATAGTTTTCTGGGTACAGTGTCTGGTATCCCAAGACATTTATTAAGAGTATTTATGAAGTGTACCTAATGATGAAACACGGAGATTTTTTTCCAGCCTAGTACATCTTTTCAACTTCAATCTATTAAAACAAGGACTGACTCAAGAATCACTAATGAAAAAAAAAAAAAAAAAGAAAAAAAGAAAAAAAGCATAAACAAGCTGAGATAGAACAGTTCTCCAGGATTAGGAATTAGAGTGGCCTGAAGAGCTTTTATGTTTATTACTTGGATCAAAGTATCATCAGGACAAAAAATATGACCTAATTTTAATGTAAGTGACCTCAGAATAACCAGCACTGTAAAGTATCATTTTTCTCCTTGTAGGATTCCAAACCAAAATTAGTTACTTTCCTCCTCAGAGAGGACATCTGGATAGTTTATCAATGAACTGGAATTTGTCTCACAGCAAAGAGCCTGTGATGTCTCCTCGCATGCACCAAGGGAAAGCTGGGCTTTCAGAGCATCTGCATGCATTGACGTTTTTTTCCCCCCTGACCCAGCCCCTAGACAGAAGGTCTGAACATGAAATTTATGGCCTGGGTGATGTGCGCCATGAGCTCACACTTTACCAGACAAATTAGATGGGTTGCAATCCGTGCAGCTGTAAACGACGTCCTGCAGGGTTCCACCTGATCTTTTACAGCTTTTCATAAATCAGTACCTACTAGCTTCAGAAGAGAGTCATTAAAAAGAAATCATGGAAATTACATGTTTGCTCAGGGGAAGTGAAATAGAACATTTCCCTCTGTCTTGTTTTTTAATTCCTCCCTCTTTGAAAAAAAATAAAAAGAAAAATATCTTTTTATTTTGTTTCTTTGACCAACCATGATACCCCATTGCATTATCTTTCAACAGAACAGAACAGGAAGACTTTTATCCTGTCCGTCTTGACTGCGTGCCTGTCTATAGAGCTGTATTTACTGACGTGTGGTACCCCTGACAAAAGTCAGTCAGACGTAGGTTAGAGAGACAAATTTAACAGTGAGATGCCAGTTACAAAATGCTCTGCTGCTGAAAGCATTCTCTGGATATGCCCATTATGTAAACAGCTGGAATTAACCTCTGAGTCATCCACAGCAGCAAGGAGAGCTACAGTTTGTTATCATTAGCACAGGTTTTTGTCACAACATGAGGAAATGTTTGTTGCATCATGTAACAGTGACAAAGACTGCAGAAAACCACATTAGAAACTCTCCTGATCCAGCACGATCGCCTTGTCTCTGCTCGGCTGTTGTCTGGTGAGAAAAGGATGATTGAAAACTTTAGGAACCAAGATAAATAAAAATCAAATGACCAATGACTTCTTCTGCACAAAGGGTGGCACTCTGCAAATGCAAAGTGGAGATCTGCACACAGGATCTTAGACTTTCTCTTGCAGTAGCCTATCTCTTCCTCCAAACACCATAACCAACCTATAGTTTTTAAATCTGGACTTCCTCTTCCACAGTCAGATTCATTTAAAGTGGGAACTATGTAGAAAACAAAGTAATTTCCGGTGGCAAGCTTTAGTTAATTATAAACTGGTTTTGTAAAGTGAAATTGCTCCCTGGGAGGAAATCAGGCCTGGTTTAAACACAAATGCCATGTGTTTTATAATTATGGTAAGCTGAAATGCAGAATTCTGGTCTAACAAGGACATTTCAATATTTCAGCAACAGCAGCAAAAAAAAAAAAAAAAAAAAAGAAAAAAAAGAACAACTAGCACACAGAGCAGACTGTAGTTTTATCTTCTACAAGAAACAGAATTGTAAGTACGCTAGTGTGACAACAGGAGATTAGAAAATAAATGACATACCAAGGAGAAGTAGAGACCTTGTATTTACTTGGTTGTCCCTGGACCTTAAAGGTAAGAATCCTTGGAGTTCAGCCCTGCCACTTCATGCACATTTTTAAAGCACTCTTAGCAAAAATTGCAACTTAGACACGAAAATAATTTGCTTTACCCAGGGGGCTTCACATCACATTTGCACAGTCTGACAGTAAGCAGGTTGTGACTCTTCTTTGAAGTCAAAGGAGAGATG